TCACAGAGAGGAAGGGAGAGAGATAGAGAGTTAGAAACATCGATGAGAGAGAAACATCGATCAGCTGCCTCCTGCACACTTCCCACTGGGGATGTGCCCGCAACCAAGGTACATGCCCTTGACCGGAATCGAACCTGGGACCTCTCAGTCCGCAGGCCGACGCTCTATCCACTGAGCCAAACCAGTCAGGGCATGTGAATTGCTTTTTAAATAAAAAGGAAGGAACACCACCTCACCTCACCTCACCTCACCTCATGGATCTCCAGGATGAGATACCCATGAAACGGGCTCTGAAGTATAGGATTATTACTAATAATGACAATTTATGAAATAAATATACACAGACCATTAAAAGCCTTACATTTTATACACCGTCAAATTTAAAGATCTGTCCATCCGTTGCTCCCCAAAATAACAAGTGCCTAGCACCGTCAACAACAACATCCACTGCTTATTTCGCATCTTCCAGTACCTAACACAGTTTCCTCATTTTATCCTTACCTGCTCGATAGGCATAATTATCCCCATTTTACAGATGTGGAAACTGAGGCTCAAAGAGGTTAAATAAATTTGCCCAAGGTTGCTCAGCTACTAGGAGCCCGTTCCAGGTGGGGACACCAGTCCAACTCCAAATGCCACATTTTCTCTATGTCCCCAGCAACCACTCCTGTGCCATTTCCCCTAAAATTCTCGACATAGGCTTTTAGAGTTCCCACAGCTGGCTCAGGGTCTGCAGGGGCTGAGCAGAAATTAAGCATACACTAACTCAAATAAAGAATAATTTACAGGGTTTCAACAGTAGAACATAGAACGTGGATAATCAAATCAACAGTTTGGAATATGAGGCAGCAAAAAACACCCAATTAGAAGAGCAAAAGGAATAAAGAATCCAAAACATGAAGGTAACATACAGAGCCTCTGGGACAACGTTAAGCCTACCAACATCCAAATTATGGGGGTGCCAGAAGGAAAACAGAGAGAGCAAGATATTGAAAACCTATTTGAAGAAATAATGACAGAAAACTTCCCCTACCTGGTGAAAGAAATAGACTTGCAAGTCCAGGAAGCGCAGAGAACCCCAAACAAGAGGAACCCAAAGGGGACCACACCAAGACACATCATAACTGGCACAATGACTTACACACTCCCTCTGAACTCCAGGGCTAGGGCAGCAGCTTGAAAGTGTTCATAGACATACAGGGAGGAACTGAATTGTCTGGCATCAGGACAGAACTGGGGGGCAGCTTTCTCCCAGACAAAAGTACTGGCAGAGGTCATTGTTTCTATGCTGAAACTTCCCCTGCCACAGAGCTGACTGGTAGGTGCCATATCTGAGTCTCCATCAACCTGGCTCACACTATTCGCTTAGCCCTGGTGATTCCCCTCACCCAATTTGCAGCCCCACCCAAACTGCTTAAAGCAGGCTTTTTCTTCCTCTCTGAAATCAATTAAAAAATTATTTTTAAATATATGAAAAATAAAGTGGCAATAAATACATATAATCAGTATTACATGAAATTTTGAAGGGTATTCTTGAAGAAGAAGAATAAAAGAAGTAGAAGATAAAAAATATAAACAAATGGGCGTGGCTCAGTGGTTGAGAGTCGAATTTCCTAAAATCTCTCAAACAAGTAGCAGCTGATGTCGGTGTGCCCCATACCTTCTGATAAGTGGCCCCAGGCCTGGCATTAGCACAGCTTGCCTTGCTTCACAGCTTGGCCTCCCCTGGGCACTTTCAAGCCCAACACAAGTAGCAGCCATCTGCAGATCAATCTGTAGCTCCTGCCCAGTGGCCCCAGAAAGGGCACAGGCAGTGTCTGACTCTGCACCTCCCAGGAGGCTCCAGAGCCGTGCACCAAGTGGACAGCTTCAGCCCACACCAGATTTCAGCTCTACACATCCATGAGTGACACATTCAAAGGAAAGATTCTGTGAGCACCAAGGCCCCACTGAAGCAAGTCCTAAAGAACCAGAGGCATGGAAACATGGAATAGACCAACGAATCTCAGAGGAAAGATGGAGGAGAGAGATTAATTAAAGAACATATATGCATTACCTATGGACACAGACAATAGGGTGGTGAAGGCCTGGGGTGGGATGGGAACCAGGTGGAGGGGGACAATGGGGAGATAAGAGGGGGACAGCTGTAATACTCTCAACAATAAAGATTCTTTTAAATAAAAAAGAATCAGCCCTAACCAGTATGGCTCAGTGGATAGAGCATCGGCCTGCAGACTCAAAGGTCCCAAGTTCGATTCCGATCAAGGGCATATCCCCAGTAGGGGGTGTGCAGGAGGCAGCTGATCTATGTTTCTCTCTCATCAACGTTTCTAACTCTCTATCCGTCTCCCTTCCTCTCTGTAAAAAAATCAATAAAATATATATTTTTTAAAAAGAATCAAATGAGTCACTGCACGTGCACTTGGGACAGCAGTGGGAGCAGCCAGCGCCCAGTAGTGCTGGCACCCTTACCATGAGTGTTAAGAGGAAAGGTCAGGACAGAACAGGCGTAACAGCCTCCATTCTACAACTCGCAGGAACGCGATGCCTCAGCAAGCCCGGTGAGCAGCCCTCCTCAGCCTGTGGAGTCAGACCTGTGCCCCTGCCAGGGGCTGCTTGTGACTGCCCCGGAGGGCTGTGGCACCTTCCCTGATCAGCAGAGGGGTCCTCCGTACGGAGCCACATCCTTCCCATCACCAACCGCATCCAGTTCACTTCTCACTGGAACCTGCCGCCTGCCCTGGGTGAGCACCCTTCTCCTGACGCCTTTCCCTGCAAGAACCCTGAGGGCAGGGGTGCCATCTGTGCTCCCAGCTCCTGCATGGCACCTGGCCGAGGGTGAGGTAATGGAGTGGATACTCAAAAGCTATTCAGTCTCAGTTGTGGCTTCAGAGCTCTCTCCCTCCCAGCACGCCAGGCGGCCGCTGCAGCCTGTGGCATGCCGGTGAGACCTGTTGGCCATCTTGGGGCTAGAGTCATCCCAGACCCCACAGGATGCAGGGCCTGCTGCTCCTCCCTGGGACACGAAGCTCCAGGGCAGGGCAGGGCAGGCAGCAAGCTCACCTCGTTGCTGACCACCACGTGGATGCCCGTTGGCCCCTGCCGGTAGACTCGGTGGATGTGCTGTGGGGAGATGCTGTACAGGTTGGCGATCTTCTCAATCAACTCCAAGGTGGTCAGCTCTTCCAAGAAGATGGCATGGTACACTGAGGAGGCAGAGAGAGGTGCTTCTATAGAGCAAGCGCCTGCTTCCGAGGAGCTCGTCCCTCCCCGACCCGCCCCGCCCCACCCAGGAAAGCAATGACTTGATCGTGGCGGTGCTCCTGCCCACACAGATCCATGGGGTTGGGCTGCAGTGGGCAGATCCCTGGAATCAACAGGTGAAGAGGTGCCGGCTGCGGTTCCTACTGGCTGTTTCAGTCTCTTAGGGGACTCATGTAAGTGCGGAACTCCCGGCCACCCCAGGAGGTGCCGGCTGCGGTTCCTACTGGCTGTTTCAGTCTCTTAGGGGACTCATGTAAGTGCGGAACTCCCGGATCCACCCCAGGCCCGGTGACACCCACGGAGGCTGGAGGCTGGAGGCAGGAAGGCTGCAGAAATCTGCAGCTCTAACAAGCTCCCAGGGTGCTCACTGCGGGAACAGGAGGCAGCCCTGGGCCCTTCCTTCCTTGCACTGCCCACAGGGGTCACTGATGCTGTCAGGTGGCCGAGAGAGAGATGTAAAGACAACTGCTATTGGGCAGCAGAGAGGGGTCTCGTCCTCGCCCTTCTCCACGGTCAGTAGCAGTGCACGTGGGCACTGTGGGCCCAGGGGAAGAAGGGGCACCAGCCAGTCAGAAAGTCAGTGACCTGAGGTTGGGACAGCACCAAATCCCAGCCAGCCAGGCCCCATGGAGACCTGGTGAGTTAATGCTTCAGGCTTCGAGTTCCTCAAACTACAATAGCTGGATTCAACCAGCAGCTCCCAACTCAACCAAGAAACCCTCAGATCCAACACATCTGACCAGAGACCCAACTTTAAAACATGCACAGGCACACACAGACGTACATGCACACACACATGCATATGAAAGCGCACACATACACGTGTACACAGCACGCACACATACATGTGTGCGCACACGTATATGTATGCATATGTGCACATCTGTATGTACACATGCACGTACACACATACATATGTACAAATGCATGCACACATGTACATACACACACAGTGGGTCTTTGGAAGTGGGTGGCAGAGGCCACAAGGTCCCAGCCATGTGGCAGGTTCACCTTCCCACAACTCAAACAGGTTTCGTCGGGACAGTGTGGTCCCTGTGCAATGCTTCTCCAATTGCTCCTCCAGTACCAACTCCAGTACTGACTCCCAGTCTCTCTCCTCAGGTTCCTTTTAACATCAGAATTCTCATTGTACTCCTATTTCCATTCTTTTAGAGAACCTGTTCCACTTTCTCCAGTTTTACTTCCCAAACCAATCTGACTGCTGCAAAGAGGAGCTGAAGGAAGATAGGCTGGCTCCTTTTGCCGTCACTGTCTGTCCCTGGCTTCCCTGCCCCAGCTGCACTCGGCCACCAGGAGTGCTCAGAGCCAGGAGGGTTGGCCACTCCCCGAACTCCTGCCATGCCCGGCTCTCCTCGGGGGCAGCGTGGGGGGCAGTTTGGGAAAACCAGGAGCTCTGGATTGGGCAACCCTGGTTCAAGTCCTAACTCTGCCACCCAGGACAGTCCCCACTCCTCTAGGAGCCTTGGGGGTCCTGTCAGCAAAGCTACCACCAGTTAAATCACGCACCGTGC